GCTGCTATTAAGGCGAGCATGTTTCTGCTGCTATTAAGGCGAGCATGCTACTTATACTAATTTGGTACGTGTGTTCTATGCTGATGCACAAGGCATGATTGTAACTTTGCTTGTACCAAGACGTGCCTGAATGTCGGAAGAGGCTTAGACATTCTGGCACGTCTGTGGCTGGTACATAATAATAAGTACATCATGTTTTACAACCAAACTTCAATAACAATATTTCAATTGAAATAACGAATGTCTCGCCACCATTCCTCGCCAAGTCGAACACTTATCCGGAAATTGTCATCGAACCACATTTTTTGTTAGCAATCAGCAGGGAAATCCCAAAAAAATCTGTTGTTCCGTAAAGAAATCAAATCATCCAAATAATTAATTGATTTGTAATTGGCATTATTGGCCATCACTAAACCATATCTGTTCGGGTTAATGACTTGTTTACTTTTTATGCAAATTGGATTGCGACAGACTGTGTCATGCTACATACAGTCAGGTGAAAAAATATACTCGTTTTCACCTTCTAACTTAACGAAAGATACCATACTACACGTTAACTTTTACAACAAAAAACAAAAAGGCACGAAACACATCCTTGGACCTTATCAAAATTGATTCTTAGGCGGGATTCGCATCTGGCAGGTCCATTACCAATGAAAAGCTTTTGCCATTGTGGTTCTTCAAATGACAATGCCAGAATGATGACCATAAACAGTTTCTCTAATGGAAAATCGTAATTTTATAAAGGTGATTTGAACTCTACATACTTACTATTTCTTCTTCGATAAACTTATTTGGAATGCCAAGTCAAAGTTCTCCGAGTTCAAAATATTGTTGCACAGTTGTCTGCACTTGCAAAACACAACCACTGTAATCTAGATGTCGAAACTATTTTTTATAAATGGAACTTTAAGCGTGAAACACACAAAGAGCGGGTGCGGGTCGGGCGCAAATAAAAAAGTAATAAATACGCGGAATTGACCCTTGCGGTCCCGACCCGTCTCGCGCCCGACCCGCACCCTTTCACGCTTTAATCTTAAATTATTTTCGTGTAAGGTCAAGAGTACGTTAAGCTTGACATTCGAGTTTTTTTTTATGGTACCAAGAAGTGCCGGGACGAACGTTTTAAATTCAACTCTACCTCACTTATGATAAGAATGATCGAAAGTTTCAAGTTTGATGTACTCTCGACTGCATAACCACTAACTAACTATTGTTTTAGTGATAGGGCAGGGTCTCGCATTATCTTTCCTGTAGGCAAAATCTAAATTGGCAGCGATTATGAAACATTGCAATATCTCTTACACCCACCTCTACTATTGTAAAATAACTGCCTCACTTGCCGAACGGTTACCATGCCGGTCTGCCACGCAGAGGTCCCGAGTTCGATTCCGGACTGGGATAAATATTTGTATGGCCTACATTTAGTTATCTCGTGAGTTTGGGTGTAATTTATGGTTGTCTATGTGTATGTCCATGGCACCCGCGTTATAGGGTTTCCCTAGTGATAGTAATTAATGTTATGCATATAAAATGACGTCGCTACACTTGTGCGCACATCTAAAGCCATTCGCTATCGCACTCGCACCCGTTACTTTGAATACAATCGAATTTATATATTTAACTTTTTACTTTAAGTATATATTATTAGTAAGAAGTGTACAATGTGACCTCAAAAGGTCTGCGACATTGATAGCCATGTCTCTGTTCATAAATACGACCTTTTACTACGGTGTCCGCTTTTAAATGGTACAACTAAAATATGTTAAATATTTACTCGACTCAAATGTAACTACTGGTTTCTTTTCCGCGATGTCAAAGTGTTTCCCATAGTGAAAGTTGTACACATTGGCGGATAAAATCGCTCCTAAAACTTCAGAAGTCGATACAGATATTCACAGGTTACATTTTATTATAAGAAGTCTCAAGAATGTAATAAGAATATTTTATATAGTATTAAATTGATATTAAATATTTTTTTTGTGAAATTACTCCACTAGTTTGTTATAATTATTAATAATACAAAAATCGAACACGTAGAAAAAATTCCTTCGATACGGCCGAATTCGAACCAACGTCTTCTAGCAACCCGTGTCAGACGCTATTCCAACTAAGACACGGAACGAACCAGCGGCCCTCATGATTTTTTGTATATGCTTGCTGTCGAACCTTTGTATTTGGTTTTCAACGACTTTGCAGCCGTAGCGCCATCTGTGAGAAATGTAGGAAAGTATTTCATCACCCAGTTAGGTAACTTTAAAGCTGCCAGCTCTGACTAGAGATGTCGCTATTAACAGTAATTAAATTTGTATTGAATAGATATTGAATTTTTAATACAGTGGTGGACACATAATTAAAGACACTTAGAGAATATTAGTTTTTCAAAGTTTACTTATCCTATATTTTTTTATTATAATGCAATAGGAGCTTGCAATATTATTTAAATTATTCTAACGGGTATCGTGAAATGTTTGAAATGAAATAAAGAGAACGAAGATGTCGTCTTTTAAATTTTTATTAAGTTTCTTTAATTACACCGTTATAAACTAATACAAAAGCTTGGCCAACTAATTAAAGACACACAAATCATGTAACTGCAAAAAAAATATTACAAATGTTAAAACGAATTTGAGTATAAAATTAGTTTCAGATGTATAATAAGAAAATAAAAGCACGTTGTTAATATTTTGTCGCATGTCCTTTAGCAGCAATGACGGCCCGACACCGCCTCGGCATAGAAGCAATCAAATTATTGCAAGTTTCAATCGAAATCTGTTCCCATGCCTCTTTAAATGCCGTATATAGTTGATGCACGTTACTTGTACGTTTTTTTGTAATTTTCTTCACACGGGACCACAAGTTTTCGATCGGGTTAATGTCAGGACTATACGGTGGCCAATCCAAAACTGTTACTGATTGGCTTCTAAGAAATTCTTTGACCACTGCTGAAGTGTGTTTGGGATCATTATCATGTTGAAAAGTCCATATCACCGGCAAATGATCCTCGGCATAAGGTAACATGGTGTTTTCTAAAATATTTTTATATTGAAATTTATCCATGTTACCTTCTATTTTTTTAATAGGTCCCACACCGTGACCAGAAAAACATCCCCAAACTTTGATATTACCCCCTCCATGTTTAACAGTTTTTTTATGTATTTTGGATCCATTTCTTTTTTTGAAGGACGCCTCACGTTAACTTTTCCATCAGAGTTAACCATATTTATTTTAGTTTCGTCAGAAAAAAGCACATGTTTCCACTGTCGCTCTGTCCAATGTGCATATTTTTTGGCAAACAGCAATCTGGTTTTGATGTTTTCTTTCTTCAAAAGGGGTACCTTCCGAGAAATTCTTCCAAATAAGTTTGCCTCACATAATCGCCTTCTCACCGTTCTTGCAGACACTCCTCTAGATTCCTCTGCACCAAATACTTCCAAGCGAATGACTTCTGATCCTTTGAAA